ACCAAAGTTTCAGAAGAGATGGACGTACTCTCCGCACCGGGAAAGGACGTGTCATTATGGTATCGGGTTGGTGCTCGTGGCACTGTCATGGCTGGGCTAATTGAGAACGGGGTATACAACGAGACAGACTTGTTCTACTCGGACAATATGGAATCTATCGCTGATCCCGCCATGTTCGATGCACCCTGGCTTTATCGAGAAGAGTTTACATTGAACCCATCCACTGGTCAATATTTCACCCTAAAGACACACGGAATCACATCCAAGGCAGACATCTATCTGAATGGAGAGCTCATTGCATCAAGTGACCAACAGCAAGGCTCTTATGGCGGCCACCAGTACAACTTGACCGAGCACGTCAAGGAAGGAGCCAACTGTCTTCTCATTCGTGCGTTCCCAACCAACTATCTTCGCGATTTTGCCCAGGGGTTTGTGGACTGGAATCCCTACCCAGCCGACAATGGCACCGGCGTTTGGCGAAATGTGGAGCTTTCTCAGACTGGAGCGGTCTCAATGTCTCCATTCCGCATTCTCACCGATTTTACTCACCCCAACTCTGGGCCGGTGAAGGTCACCTTTCGAACTGATTTGACCAACCACGAATCGAGTGGGCATCAGGTAATGATCAACGGCACTGTGAAAGGGCCAGATGGCTCCGAAGCCGTGCAAATTATCGAGACGTTTGACTTGAAGTCAAACGAGAAAAAAACGGTGTCTATGAGTGTGTCAATTGAGAACCCTGATATTTGGTGGCCTGCCCTTTGGGGCGAGCAGCCTTTATACACAGTGCAGGCCAGCGCTATCATTCAGAAACCTCAGCAGCAGCAGTTGGTGTCTGACAGTTCCATTCGCCAACAATTTGGGATTCGTCATGTATCATCGAAGTTGAACAAGTCCAATGATACCGAATTCGCCGTCAATGGCGAGCCCTTCCAGGTTATCGGAGCTGGATATGGACCGGATATCTTTTTACGATTCGATATTGACAGGGTACAGAAGATTTTCGCCTACATGTTGGACATGGGACTCAATACTGCGCGCTTGGAGGGAAAACAGGAGCACCCAGAGCTTTATGATCTCGCGGATAAAATGGGTATGATGGTCCTGGCGGGATGGGAATGTTGTGATAAATGGGAAGGGTGGAAGGTAAGTTGTCTCAACACCCTAAACTGAGATTCCACACCACTGACAAAATGAATATTAGTACAATAACGAGGCCAACGGTGTAAAATGGGGGAAGAACGACTACCCGGTTGCGAAAGCAGCAATGCTGCACGAGGCAGAGATGATGCAAAGCCATCCTTCGATGCTTGGATTTTTGGTGGGATCAGACTTCTGGCCAAACGACCAGGCCACCGAGATTTATCTAGATGCCCTCAAAGCCATGGATTGGCCTAACCCAATCATTGCATCAGCCAGCAAGCGTGGTTACCCCGAAGCTCTTGGACCATCCGGAATGAAGATGGACGGTCCGTACGATTGGGTACCCCCAAATTATTGGTACAACGACAAGCAAGGAGCGGCATTTGGCTTTGGATCTGAATTGGGTGCCGGAGTTGGAACACCCGAGATGGGCAGCTTGAAAAAGTTCATGTCTGATGACGAACTGGAAACACTCTGGAAAGAACCAGAGGCAGACCAATATCATATGTCGCGCTACGATTCGCAATTTTACGACCGGAAGCTCTACAACGAGGCCCTCTTTGCCCGTTACGGGAAACCATCTAGCCTGGAAGACTACATCATCAAAAGTCAGATGGCGGATTATGAGGCCACCCGATCTCAGTTTGAAGCCTATGGAACGCAGCAAAATGCCAGTCGACCTGCAACGGGTATTATTTACTGGATGTTAAACAGTGCCTGGCCAAATCTGCATTGGCAGTTGTTTGATTACTATCTCAGCCCTATGTCAGCCTACTTCGGCACCAAGGTTGGAGCGCGCATGGAACACGTGGCTTATGATTATGAGAGCCATAAGATTTGGTTGATTAACCACTCTCTGGAACAGAAGGGAAATCGACAAATCAAGGTTGATTTCATTGATTCAAATGGCAAAGAACTATCCCGGGCCACAGTGGAGAGCAACACAAACCCCCATTCTTCAAAGGTGGTGGCTTCGCTTGATGGAGTGAAACAAGTCAAAGATATTGGCTTCCTCCGTCTCACGCTCAGTGATTCCAAATCCAAAGCTATCCTTAGTCGCAATGTTTACTGGCTCTCTCCTACCACGGATGTCTTGGACTGGTCAGAGTCTGATTGGTACACTACGCCAGTTACCGAATTCGCCAAATACACCAAGCTGGAGACACTGAAACCGGCTACTTTGAAGGCTTCACTACACAGCCTGGACTCGCCAACAGACGATGGGTTGACTCATGCTGAAATCCTGCTCCAAAACCAATCTGCAGGACCGGCAGTTTTCATTCGTCTGAATGCTCTCGATGCACTCGAACGTGCGGAGATTGCGCCGCTTTATTGGTCTGATAATTATGTGACTCTTTGGCCGAAAGAACAGCTGCGGTTGACTGTTGCATTTGAAGGAGATATCCAGCATACTGTCTTCGAGATTACAGGAAGAAATGTGGAAAAGTTGACCCTCAAGGCTTAGGATGTGAATTGATAACATGAAGGGTTTCATGTAGCAGATGGGAATTTGTATTAAGAGTCAAAACCTTGCTTGTAATGAGGGATATTTTAGCTTACTTGCTGCATAGAGGCCATTTGATATCTCGAAAACAATTGTGCATTAAACATGTACAATGGTAACTGTGGGTTGAAGAACCGTCTCTCCCGCTTTCTCATAATCCCCTGGTTTGTATAGCTGGGGTCCATCTCCTATAGCACAAATATATACTGTGTCGTTCAACGGTACTGCAAACAGAAAGTGGGCATTGGATGCGACAAAACAGAACAAAGCAGATATTCCTCGGAGCTTCCCAGGTACACCCAAAAGAGAAAGAGTTAACTGCCAAAATAAAAACACGCTTTGAATGTAAAATGTGCAAGAGCCATATAGAAGTAGCCTGCCTTAATGTGGGAAAGGTCTTTCAGTCGTTGTCTGTAATAGATTCAACACATGTGACATCTTCGACCCAGAATACTCGATGCCCAGGACAGTGGGAGCCTTGCGATCTTCAGAGTAAAATACGTTGAGATGCTGACCCTTTGAAGGGCACAATGAAGGTGCCTTTGGAATGTCCGGAAAGGTTAAGAGACCCTTAGCAGGCGTGCTTGCCCACAGATAATATAGCGAGATACTTTGCAAAGCCAGAAATCCCTGACTCAGCTCCTTGAGAAATGGAGTCCAATCACTCCCTGGTGCCAGGGAAACATGATATAATGTGAGCGAAATCAAGTTTGGGCGGATATTGGTGAGTAACTTGTGGAGATCTGGGCCCCGCATAGATGTTCGGAACAAGGCGAGTTCGCGCAGCTGGGAAAAGCTTGCACTTTCAGCCAGTTCATGCATGAATTCAGATGCCAAATTGTGCGAGCCGAGGTTTAGTAGGAGGGTCTGAAGATTCGGAGCGCTAAGAACCAGCTCAAGCAGGAAGCCGAAGTTATCCAACGTGAGATATTGTTCCAAAGAGAGTTTTTCTAGATTGCCCCACACAATTTTGAACTCCGGTTGACGATAGAGGAGCTTGGGAAGACGGCGCATGTCCATGATCAAGGTGCGCGAGTATTTGTTGGCATAGATGAGATTGAACGATGAAACCGGCAGACGAGCATCGACGACCAGGGCAAAGAACACGGCGACAGCGTCTGTGATAGTAACATGGCTCATATCCGGATGGCCCTCTGGATATCGACAAAAAATAAAGAATGATCGACAATTAGTCAAGTTCTGGATCAAATTATCACGCAGAGACCGAATCGCCTCGACCTCCAGAGGAGCAGAGATAGGACCCCAAGGATGACGGTTCCAAACTAGGCCGCGACCGACGCCATTCTGAAGCATAAAGGCCAACCCGTTGACGTAAGGGCGCAATGAAATATTCTGCGAGAGAGCGTTGATACGGCGCAGACTGTCTCCAGAGAGGTCGGTCTTGATAGATGAGAAAAACCGCTGCGCAAAGTGATGAAAGGTCTTACTCTGAAGCTCGCGACAGACTAAACGTAGTGCTAATAAGCCATCTGCGTTGAGAAAGCCTGCAATGAACTCGACCAGCTCGACGGGGAGGGAAGGGAGATAAGCTAATGATCCTGGTTTCATTGCGTGAGTATTTCCATGCCGTGGAAGAGTGTAGGATGACGAAAGGTGGAGAAGGTGCCGAGGGTGGAGAAAGGAGCTTCCCCAGGTTTCTGAAACCTCCAGACGTGCGGTTTTTTATTACCCCTCACTTGGACAACCTTGGGGGGATGGCTGTGTTGGCGGAATCAAGCCCGGGTGCAAAGAAAGAGCAGGGTTGCACGATGAATAGGAGTCTTACATAGCACAGAGAGAATACTTGACTGTTCACGCGAGGGGAGTTGGCCATGTCTTTTGGAGCCGTTAGTTAGCTTTTCAGTACATATTCTCCATATCGAGCTCCTTTCCATTTTCAAGCTTTTGAGGATCTGGGATCTTAGTCTACATGCTTGTTAGGGATTCCCTGCTGGGTTTAACACCCCCAGAGAACCTTCAAGGCAGGCAAATAAAAAGGTGTACAGTGAAAGGCGAAGGTGGAGGAAAGAGTTTCCACTGGTTTCCGAAGCTTCTGCGCTGTGGATTTTGAATGTATACCACTTAGTTGCACAAACTTTGAATTTGGCTGTGCTGTGTTTGCGCACTGAGCCTGAGTATAAAGAAGAAAGAAGAGTTGCTTCACGGATCACAAGAAAGCCGTAATTAGGGAGGTCGATGGAGGCCTCATTAGCGGAGCGAGAATAGGTATAGTACCATGCGTACACTGGAATAACCTTGATTTGTATTATTTTGTATCATCGATGGTTTCTATATGACGATTGAGCCCCAACGTTGGCATGAGTGGCATGAAGCATCTAGTCATATGTACCATTCAATTCTGCATGTCTGCTGCGAAGTCCTTCCACATCGAGCAACGCTCAACCTCCAAGCGAGGAACACTTTCCATCCGTGTCGAATTTGTCTGGAGTTTAAGGCGGTGCCCGGCTTCTGAGCCCCATGGTTGCCATTCAGGGGCGTCCTCGTACCGGTAAGTGTTGAGGTCTAAGACTCTGATAAAGCTCAAGTAGTAGTGCATGGTAACGGGCACGATCTTTGCATTAGAGCTGGCATATGAAACAGTTGGCTCATTGGTTTTCCCAACCCCGAAAATTGCAGGCAAATCAAACACATGAGGAACACCCATCCCATTTGCAATTTCTGTGGGGTCGCGGACATTGTACCGATAATTCCAGACGACATCAGACGAGAATGACCTAGCCATCGCCGCGCTCATGAAGTTTCCTGGGCAAGTCAAGGTCGCATCTCCATAAGCGCCCGCAGCTGATGCGAAATAAGCCGCATGCTTAGGAAGGGGCTCCACATCCTCGTATGCCTTGTTGATGGCATGAAGTTGGTCATCGGAGAGTCCGGGATAATTGTTCTTCATGAACTGGGCCACTTCAGACTTGCTGCTCGCATTGTATGCAAACCTGGTGCCTTCATTTGTCTCATCCCCGACTAACAAGGGCACGTGAACAAACTTTCCATCACTGAACAGATTGTAAAGGTGGTCCTGGATCAAATTTCCATCAACAACAGGAAGGAAATACCACAGGGGGGCTGGCATGGAACTGCCCCCTGGGAAGGGCTTGTCGACGTTGAACTTTTGGATCGGTTTTATATCCGAAGAGCGCAAGCACCCTAAAGAATCCTCCGCCTTGTGGCAACTAGCATCTTTCACGAATCGGTCGTACTGAAACTCCATTTGTGCAACTGTCCTTTGAGTGGGCCAGAATGGCGACTCTGCCACTGCCCCAATGAAAAGGTCTGTATTGCGCTCACCATACGCGGTGAGATGATAGGCAACTGAGCCTGCACCAGCAGAGTCACCGTGAATGACGACGTGGTCTGGGTTGCCTCCAAATTTGCGGATGTGTTTCTGTACCCAATATAGTGCTTTCCGCTGATCGAGCAGCCCAGCATTGAGGTCTCCATTTCTTCGCACGTGTTCACTAGCGAGGAATCCAAGAACACCGACACGGTAATTAAAGTTGACAAAAATGATATTGTGATCAGACTGTTGAACAACCTCGCTGCCGTTATAGTTGCCATTCGCATTGTTGGCGTATCCACCCCCTTGAATGAACAGCCAGACAGGGAGGTCGGAATACGGACTCGCCCCCGTTGGCCGCCAGATATTGATAAATAAGCAGTCCTCTGCTAAGGAATCGTCGATTGACTCTCCAACCCCCACGCAAAGGGGTCCAAACTACCCAAGTCAGTTCAACACCCCCAAGCCAGGATGGATAGCAGTATTACCGATGATGCATCTAAAATCCCTGCAGTATCTTCTACCCCGGAATCGCAAGTTGCCTAAGGGTGCCTTTGCATATCTTATCCCGAGAAATTGGTCAACGCCATTGGACAGTGACATTCCCCGGTACTGAGAATATCCTAAGTCGACTACCGGCAATCGCTGCATCGATGGGGAAGGGGAAGCCGACAGCAGACCACCAAAAAGGCCTGCAGTCAATATGATAACTATTTGAATGACGACCATTGTGCGATTACATGTACAACATGGGAATTGATAACTAATATGACCCTCCCTTAACTATGTTGACTAGTCTGAGTCCCTTGCCTGAAATTTAAGCACTGCCTTCCTAATTGGGCTGAACACCTGCCTCGGCAGCTGGTTCTGCCTACCGCTTTCCCTACCGCCTCCTAGTTTTCACGCCGCCTTCCTGTCAAACTCCCTATACACTATACACAATAGTTACCCACAATTTCTCTACAAACCCCGAACAAAACTAAGTCACCTTTGTCAGCACTATAGCTAGCACCGAGCCAGGGACTGAGTCCCGAGACAAGACATGGACGGGGATGTGGACGAAAATGCGCGTCTAGAGGGGAGTAGGTTGACTTAGGAGTCAGGCAGAATATAATTTTTCTAATCAAGATGCATGCTTTCACTTTATAAACTAAAAGTTGGCAGAAAATTATGGCAGAATCCGCCATAATATCACGTGATTAGAGTATCCGCCCGAACACAAAGCTCCACTCCGCTCCAGGCCCCATTTGTTTATCCGATAACCTGGTTACTGCCCGTTAACGCCAGGTAGAACATCAATGAGAGGGAAAAGTTCGAGCTTGAAACAAGCACGATCGCTATGAGAAAAGATTCAAATAGTCTGGGTGGCCCCTGAAAAATGACGTTCCCATCTAGACCTCTCGGCCATGCAGCCCGTGCAACCATCTGAGTTCTTGTGCAACCGAGCCGCGTCCATCCTTGCGTGAGGTAGGAGATGCCGTCAATGGAGAGAATCCTCACACCCCGAATCCAAGTCAATCCGAAAAACCAGCACTTGATCGGGAAATCCGAACAATCGGCGTGAACTGGTGCGCCTTTACAGTGTTCTGCCAAATGGAGAAAAGACCTTCGTTATTATGGCGGGATCCTTTCCGGCTCTATTTTCGCCTCTCTCTCCGGCAGTATTTATCTGCCAGCGCTGCTGCCCTTGGCTAACGACATGAACGTTTCTGTGTCGCTGATCAACTTGGCTATCACCACATACATACCTGGTAATCCCCACCGAGCTATACACGGGAAATATGAAGCTGATCATTTACAGGTATTCCGAGGACTCGCACCTTCTTTCATTGGCAGCTTTTCTGATATCTATGGGCGCCGTCCTGCATATCATTGCATTTGGCATTTATCTCGGAGCTAACATTGGCATCGCTTTGCAAAACAACTTTACGGCACTCATGATTCTTCGCTGCGCCCCGTCCTCGGGCAGCATTAGCACCACTGCATTGGGAAGCGCTGTTGTAGTCGGTCTCTTACCCGCGCTGAGCGAGGAACGTTGGATATGCTGGAATTGGAATGGCACTAGGGCCGACACTTGGCCCCGTTATCGATGGGCTGTCGGACTATTTCCTGGGCTGGCGCTCGATATTTCGATTCCTGGTCATTTTATCGGGTGTTTGCTTTATGGTGATCCTTGTTGGTTTCCCCGAGCCATGCCGAGCTGTCGTGGGCAACGGGTCGGTGCCGCCATCCTCTTGGAATCGCCCACTGTGAACATTATTCGTCCAAACGTTACCATTCGATGACGAACAAGGGACAGCCGATCACTCCATATTCCAAGAACTGAAGCAGCCCCAAACCCAATTCAGCTCTCTTGACAGCCACACAAAAAGGGATGGAGTTAGTCCTATTGTACGGATTCTTTTTATACGCTGGGTACATGGCAGTTATTAGCACTTTGTCGACCGAGTTGGCGAGTCGATTTGGATTTAATTGTATTCAAATTGGACTGGAACTTCCGCCGTCTTATGGGTGCTGGAGCCACGGCAATTGCATCGCCTCCAATCAAATCCATCGGCATTGGATGGACAGCTACATTAATCGCTGGAATTTTAGTATTGGGAAGTCCTGCTCCATGGGTTATTTCCTACCCGTGGTATCGCTGGAGAAGGGAACTTTCTCGCAAGCATCAGCAAAAGGCCCAAAATTCACCTCATGATTTGTGAATTCCGCTAGAAAATGAGTGGCAGGGCCAAAGATGGAGCCAATCAGATCGAATATTGAGGGAAGCGACGGGACGATCTCACGATCTACTCTATATCATATGCTTCCGCACGATATTGCGATCAAACCAACAAAGCTTGTAAAAGCTTGGCATTTGGCCCCACAACTGGCTTTACACTCCACAATGAAATGGGTTGACGACGCTAGCGCCGAGGATTACGCACGCCCTTCTATATTTAAAAATGATAATATGAAAATGAGATCGCCTGGTGATGTCCATTTCGGAGAAATTTTCTCTCATTCCTTGATGCCTCAGTGATCACTCTCGAGCACATCAGTATACGGCTATTCTCCGATATCTCTCATCGGTGAAATTTGTATGGTTTCTCATACGCCACCTTGATAAGATGCACTTGCTCGGGAGTTCCTCGCCCTTCAGACGCGCTGCAGCTGCGCTACTCCTTTCGAGCGTAGCTTGTGCAATCGATTTGGATATTAGCGATGAACGTACGTGGTGGACTTTATCCCCCCCTCTATGTTAGTTACGAAGGAGAATGAGAAGCTAAACCTTGAGTTTATAACAGAGTCGATCAAAGATGCCGCGAGTACCTCGACCTACGCTATGATGAAATACTATTACGGCAACGAGACCGGTCAAATCCCTGGAGCGTTTCCAGACAAATGGTGGGAAGGAGCCCCGCTATTTATGGCCCTTTTAGAGTACTGGCACTTTACTGGCGACACGTCATACAACGAGGAATTAAGTGTTGGATTGCAATGGCAATCAGGCACGGACGGGGACTATATGCCAAGCAACTATAGTTCTTATCTGGTGAGCACCGTCAGAGTCTGAAAACGCAATAATATCTAATACCGATGATCCGAAAGGGAAACGATGATCAGATGTTCTGGGGTCTTGCAGCTATGACTGCCGCTGAGTTCTCATTCCCGGACCGCTCGAGTGGGTTCTCTTGGCTCTCTCTAGCCCAAGGCGTCTTCAATACTCAGATTAAAAGATGGGATACATCCTCCTGTGGCGGTGGTCTACGGTGGCAAATCTGGCCCTACCAGTCTGGCTACACAATGAAGAATTCCATTTCTAATGGGGGGTTATTTCAGTTATCTGCGCGTCTAGCCCGCTACACCGGAGATCCAATCTATCTCCAGTGGGCTAACAAGATCTGGGACTGGTCTGTCTCGTCACCTCTGCTTAGCAACACAACGTGGAATGTTGCTGATTCGACTGTTGTTGGTGATGATTGTGCGACCCAGGGAAATTCCCAGTGGACGTATAACTACGGTACTTACCTGATGGGGGCAGCGTATATGTACAACTATGTGAGAAATAACCCATCTCGAGTTTCAGGTTTTATTTGTTGTATCAAGTACTTGAACTAACCCTTCCTGTTTACAGACAAATGGGACTACCCAGGCTCGATGGCTGACGGCAGTAAATGGCCTTTTGAACGCGACGTTTACCAACTTTTTCCTCACCGATGGGATTATTGAGGAATATTACTGCGAGCCAACAGAAACCTGCAATAACAACGAGATCCTCTTCAAAGGATTGACTTCTTCCTGGTTGGCCTTGACCGCTCTCCTCGTTCCAACAATGTTTGATAGCATTGTCGCGAAGCTCCAAACATCGGGCCAGGCAGCCGCTGCATCCTGCACTGGCCGCAACAATGGAACTTGTGGTGTCCAGTGGTATAAGTCTACATGGGACGGCTGGATGGGAATGGAGGAACAGATCAGCGCGACAAAGGTCTTCACCGCAAACTTGATCAATTTTGACAAGACTGCTCCGGTGACGTCGACCACTGGCGGAAATAGTACTAGCAATCCAACAGCAGGCGAGGATGACACTGATGGTTCCAATCAAATGCAGACTACAACAACAACTGCTGAGAAGGCAGGCGCTGGCATCGTGACCGCAGTTTTCGTGGCTGGCTGGATTGGACTCATGAGTTTTATGATGCTTGGTGGTTGATCGCGCTAGCACCTGTGAACATATTTTCCTTGGCTATTATTTATTTGTGCGTTTGGCGTTTTGGGTATCTGGCGTTGAGCGACTAGACATACCCGTGGACTCTATTGGGGAGGATTCGGTGACAAGTGAAGAGATAACCCTCTTACAATGCCTACTGGCAAGCAAGACCCGGGGCAACGGATTGACTCGAGAGTGCTGTATCTATATCTGCTCGAGCTTTCAATTGATACCAGATGTGGTATAAACCCGCTGGTGGGAGCAAGATCCGCGGCGTTGATGGAACCAATCGACTATTGCTTCAAATGGCTTGCTCGGGATCACGCGATCCAGAACCATATTCGCTCTGTGGAATATCCGTCAGTGTCTCTCATGAGCTGCCAAAGGAAAGAAAAGAAAGACGGGCACGTACCAAGAAAGTTGCGAGGCTTAGGCTCTTCCCACACAGATTCTAGTCGGTCGACTTCTTCTTTGCCAGACCAGAAGTCCATATCCTCTACCTTGACAAATTTGGTTCTTTTCAGGAATTTGTATCCTAGGAAAAGGCATGCAAAGATGGGAATGTCAATGTAAGGCGGGATGAAGCTCTTCGCACTGAAATGACCAGGAAAGAAAGCATCAAAGCCATTGAAGAATGCCACAGTCAAAGAGAATACTATTGCAAAGTAGGCCAGAAAGGGCTGGAAAGGTGACTGGAATGGAAGACTAGACCGCGGGATACCGTGGTATTTCAGTCCTTGATAGAAACGAACATAGGTCGCAGCGGTTGACGACCACACAATCAATGTGCTCACAGAGCTTAGGTTGCTAATCCAGAAAAAGACTTCAGCAGAGCTTGATGAGATATTGAGGTAGACGAGTAGGCTCAAGGCAGCAGTGACGGCAACACAGGCATATGGAACTCCAAATTTCTCAAACCGAAGCAGCCGAGGTGCTTTCCCATCCAATGCCGTGGAATATAGAATTCGAGTCGAGGCATAAAAGAAAGAGTTACCAGCCGAGAATGCCGATGTGAGAACAACCGCGTTGATGATGGATGGTAGCACCTGAATACCCCCATTCTCGATTGCAATAACGAAAGGGCTTGCTCCCACGCCTGCTGCGCCTGTATCAATGGCGTTAAGCAGCCTATGATCTTGAGATGAGACGCATAGACCGACAAGGAAAACACTACCAACATAAAAGATGGCAATTCGCCAGAAAACACGCCGCACGGCTTTGGGGATATTTCGCCGGGGATTTTCAGTCTCGCCCGCTGCAACCACAACCATTTCGCTGCCCCCGTAGCTGAATGTTGCCTGAATAAACACCTTCCAAAACGCTAGAAAGCGCCCTAAGGATCCATCTTTCAGATAGGTATTCATAGGACCCGGATGTTGCCAGTAGCGGAACCCTATACGGTCATGTGTCGGAGCTCCACCGAGTGTGATGATGGACATGAGCAACATCAACCCCACAATGGTTAAGAGCTTGATCGAACCAAGCAAAAACTCAAGTTCGCCGTAGGCTCGAACAGGAAGGCAGTTGAAGGCAAAAATAGTCACATAAAGTATGGTAATCCAAACGGCAGAGGAAATATTGTTGGGCCAATAGTCGATCACAAGAGCAGCTGCACTTATTTCAATCGGAACGCCAATAGCAAATTGATACCAATAGTTCCAACCTAGAGTGAACCCTAGCGCCTCATCAACAAATCGAGATGCATACACGGGAACAGCGCCAGGTAAGGGAAGCCAGGTCGCCATTTCACCCATGCTGTTGATCACCGCGTAGAGATTAAACCCAGTGATGATATAGGCAAGCACCGTCGATAATGGCCCAGCTAATGAAAGGACCTGCCCTGTGCCCACAAACAGACCAGTTCCAATAGCTCCAGATAGAGCAAGGAATTGGATATGGCGCGACTTGAGCCGGCGCTGCAAGGTGCCCATCTCCGTCAGCACCCTGATGCCCTTGTTGGGTTCCCCGGGCTCACGATGGTTCATATCGTCCGCTTTTTTATTGTCTGCGTCCATGGCCTGTGAGTGGTTTCAACTCTGCATTGCCGGCTTCATGGGAGATGCTGTAGCCCTTTAGACTGAGATTGGCGCATCGTAAAATGACCCATTCCGGGCTGCCGCATATTTTGTATGGAATGCACGGACACCAGTATTAGACAGCAAGCGTGCGGCTAAGCATGCGGAGAGTGATAGCTGAGAACTGTTCGCGTGGGAAATCCCGAATGAGGAAATAATCATGTCGGCCGACATTGGTTGGACCAATATTATCCTATGACATCTGATCTTCCAGTGCTGATCGGCTGTGTTATCGTATCGCAGGGATGTGCGAGGTCCGAGCCTGCGTAAGCCTTGTCAGGGTTGTATTTTTCTGTAGCATCCAAGTCCATGAAGAGAAAGAGGGGATTGCGGGGAAAATAATGCCCGTCTTGTTCGAATGAACTTTTGGAACTGTCACCTTCCAAATTTCCAACCAAACATGTCACCTCCCTGGCATGCCGATATGGGCTTACACCATTGTTAGATCTAGCCCCTACCGCGAATATACTACGGAATAGCAGCCCCACGGAGCCGTCTAGGAGTGCGCTGCTCTGGCCACTATATGTGGCCCTATTCTGATGCATGTATCTACGGTTGAAGTTCTGCTCGATCACGGTGTTAGAACTGACGTGGTGAGTAATTCAAAAAACTGGGAAAACAGGAGGGAAAAAATGTAGAGCTTTGAATTATCTTGTTGGCCAGCAGGATCCTCTACCTAGGTACATATCGGAGAGATGTATCACTTCTCGTTTCAGCTGTAGGGAGATATTAAAGAAGGCGAGTTCAGAAATTTCTGCCCCTACGTGGCGCACGGGTCTTCTGTTGATGCTTGCGCTTGACGATAGCCAGGTCTTCCTCCTCAACAAGCTTCTCAAGTCCGGGGGTAAGTGCCTTCAGGCGATCCACCTGTACTACACGGGCTTTCGAGCAATTATTTCTCGAGACGTCCAGTAAGTTCGGTGAGACGCGCTGTCATTGGTAAGTAGGGCGGTACTCAAGTCATGTAAGTCGTCGCTGATGCGTCGGACATCCGCGGAGGCTTTATGAATTGCAGTGTATGAATCCTTAGCTGAAGCGAGTGAGACGGTGGCCCCGGACAGAAATTGTTTAGTGGTGCTCAAAACCTTAGACGACGGTGCTTGCTCAAATACATAAAACGAACAACGGGCTTCTTCCTTGTTCCAATGACACTTTGAACAAGCTGTCATAAATGGGCATCCTGGAGCGCGAACACAATGGGGAAAGGGGCCGATTCCGCGCTCGCAAGACAGACATTGTGGTTCGCAGAGGTCTCCAACCACGCAAGCCAGTGCAGACTCCACCTGAGTAGCATTTTCACCGATATTGCGCTCAAGGGAACTTGGGTTCTAAGGCCGGTTGTTGCGAACCATCAATACGCGCTGTGCCGCCATCGAATTGAGGATGGTAGTGTGTTGGCCTTCGGGGCTAGGCCTTGCTTTGTGGCGGTGTAGTCTCTTTGACGTTGGGTGGCCCAGGGCCCAGGAGACCTCTCTTTAGTGCCCTAGTCTTACATTGATTTCCTCTCGTTCCTCGTAGACCGGGTCTTGGATAGTGATAAATACAAATACCGCGAAGCACTCTCTTAGTGGCGTTTTCGCTTATAGGTATTGACAGATGAAAGCAGAAATCATCGTCTCTCTTCACAAGAAAGGGTGGGCTTATACACCGAGAGAAATGAATAACGAAGATTGAATCTTCAAATATAGGAGACAGCTTGGAGTATTATTAGAAAAGCTTGATTTACACAAGCAGACTTTGAATGACGCACTGATATAAGGTTCAAGGTATCTCCGCTCGTCCAAATCAGACACCACAGTTATCTCCTCAAGGTCGACCGTCCACCTTGTCTTGAGTTCCCCGGCCGCAATGAGCCTAGCTGGATAAGACCCAAGGATGGCCAAGGTGACATCGGGGATAGTCAAGGGGCGCTGGCGAATTGCCCGCATATCGCCGAACTGCAACGGTAGATTCGATATGGACAAAGTTTCGCGGCAGCTTAACATATGCCGGAGAAAAATCGAGTAGTTAGGCCTAGCTCGCTACCCACACAGTAGAAATAATCCTAGAGTGACTTTGTAACGCTGATATTGCCGGTGAAAGTTAGCGAGCTGCAAATGTCAAGTGCCTGCTTTGGAAGCCTGGCCAGAGCTGCATGTAGCTCGCACAACGCCATTCGTTCGACACCAAGGGCTTGGTGTCCTCCAATTTAGGCCAGAAGAGAGGCTTCCGGTTAGAAGGGTCCGCGGATTTTCCATGATCAAAAGAATGGAGCTGCAATAGAACATGAATCGAAGGCAGACAGAAGAGATGCGGAAGGACGAGAGGTGGACGAGAGATGGACGGGAGATGGACGAGAGATGGACGGGAGATGGACGAGAGATGGACGAGAGACGGACGAGAGATGCACGGCAGGAAGAGAGATGGATGGAAGGAAAGAGAGACGGTTGGAAAGAAGCACTTGACAAAAGATAGTAGATTACCAACCCTCGTAAAAACCATCCATGGTCTCTACATATTTTTGGCCTAGAAGGGGCTACCTATGTACCTAGTTATATATTTGACGCATTTCCTGTTTCATGGTTGCTCTTGTGTGTACTTACCCACATAGCCATCGTTATAATTCAGCAAGCTGAGTTCTCTGAATGGGACTCATAATAGGCTTAGTGCATAGTCTGTACGTGTATAAAAGCATCAAGTAGTGTTCCCTCCATTCTTTCTTTCTTTAGCTCTTCTCAGCCCCAAATGAATTCGTTACTTCGACTTAGCTTTTCATCTTTTCATTCTTCGGCTCTGATCCAATCCTGCACGATGCTTCACATATATGTCGCTTCACATGTATATCACCTCATTGCTTAGCCGCTAAGTTGCTAACTTTAGATTTTCTTAGACCCGGCCATGGACAAAGTGAGCTGTCCTTTGGTCGACCTCTGACTCTGTACTCCGTGGCATGTGTGCCCGGATTGGATTTCTCTCCGGGTAAGTCTATCTTGAGGCTAGCGACCTCGAATGGGCTTGGCTGGGCATTGAAATACCCCTGTAAGAATCTACAGGAGGAAGGCGATTGTGATCGTCGTATATAATAAGTATAGCCAAGCTAGGAAAATACCTAGTTTGCAACAAATCCATTGGTTTTTCAACTAGAATAAGATACGCGAAGTATCATATCCACACCCTATGTATTGCTTTCTCGGTTCAATGAAGGGGGAAGGGGTTGGGGGTGGGAACACAATAGCGAGGAGTTCCTCAATGATGAACATGTTCACCATATATACTATTGTGAGTGAATCCCGTACGTATGTACATATGAGCATCACGACAACCGGCCTAATCGGGATACCGCCTGCTCCACTTAGTCCTCTCATACCTACATAGGTTCATCAATGGATGTATATAGGAATACATAGTTGGCCACTGATACGACCTTGGAGTGTTTGTTTAGGTAGCAATTTTGGTGGTCCTTTTTGGTGGTCTCTTAGAATTTCCTTAGATATGTTCTATTATAGATTTTCTTCGCTTTCTTAGTGCTGTAGCTAGAAGGATAAGAAGAATTTAGCCATCACAGCCTGTATACGTCACGTGCTTTCAGACCCAACCTTGTCATGCCTATAGATGCTAGAGATCCAGAGATCGGTCAGGACCAGGTAGTAACCTTTATATCGAAATCAACCAATTTTATCAATGCTATGAAAATAATTGAACTCGTGCCCGGCAGGCAAGGTGACGAGTGAAGGAGTGGAGATGAAGGCAACCGGGGAGAGCTTGCGGTGGTAGCTAGCTCATTGGCTATTTCCTACTGGACAAAAGACCGGTTGTCGTGTCAGTCCCTAAAAACCCTCGTCATGTACATAATGGAGTTACCGATGTAGGTAACTGCGTCCCGATCTCCCGACAGCTTCGGCACGGGAAACACGTCAAACCGGCTTCACGTGGCAAGTCCGAATCCGTCGGGACGCAATTTAGAATATAGATATGGTGTCATTGTTGATTACTCTGAGCTTTGAAAACAAAAACATACCTATTGAAGAGTTTTCCTTCGCCTGAAACGAAACTGATAACGGCTATAGTCGGCTGTCCTCGGCAGTTCACTCCACGACGGCTGTCAGGCACACGTCCGATTCTAGCCGAGCCTGATATTGATTTCTAACTGGTCACTGACTTGCACTGTTAGGGCACTATAATTGGATAGTGGATATTTTAAGCACTTTAAGCCACAGCGGAAAAGTATGGATCATCTGTATGTGATTTTTTGCCCTAGTTGAGGTCACTTTGCTACAATCAGGGCCCATTTTACAATGGATCTAGAATTGGGCCGAAGACCCAGAATACTAGGGAAAAAAATGTGATCAATGGGCCGACCGAAAGGGGGGATATATACTGTGTTGCCTTCCTCGTCCAGAGTTTTGTGTCTTCCCACACAAACAGCCAGTCTACTCCGCATACCTTGATATGACAGCATACTATGGATCATCTCAATCAACACCCAGACAAATACGAGCCAGATATCGACTTTCCCATTGACTCCCGCAGCCATGAATCCGACGACACAATTGAGGAGATCAATTCTCTCGAGCTTTCCCGTATCAATACCTATCGACTGCAACAGAAAACTACCGTAGGATCTACAAGAGGGCCTACTCCCCGTGAAAGATGGCTTCCTATGGGTGCCAACAAAGAGTATCCACCTCTGCTTCCGGATTCTGAAGACTATGTCGTGGAGTTTGACGGAGCCAATGATCCCTTACATCCATACAATTGGTCTACTCGTAGGCGGTAGGTTAACCACCGTTTCTCCTTGTCGATATCAAGATACACTTGCTAATATTTCAACAGGATAATGCTAGTGTGCATCCTATGTTATGGTACCTTCGCCGGATCGTTTACGAGCGCTGTCTTCTCGGCTGCTATTTCTGGCTTCAGCGAGGAGTTCAACACAAGTACCGAAATTGGCTCACTCGGAG